ACATGTAAGACCGTTTTTCAGTGAGAGTGAGACAATTTTATGACAACAATTTAGAAAACATTGTGATGAGAGAAGACCATTAAACAATAATTTATTTAATCAATGTACTCATCTTTGAGTGACGAATCAAACCAACAGTTTCTAATCGATTCAAATCGTCTAAACAAACCGATTCATTAAAGGAGTCAGGCCATATGAGATATATAAACCCTCTGCCCCAGGGTCTGTGGTTTTCATGTGGAATTTTTCTGCTTTTAAAGTGTTGATGTGGGTTGATTTTTGTTCACCTGTGGATTTAAAGGGGTCATATGATGCGATTTCAATTTTCCGTTCTCTTTGGAGTGTTACAAGTACCCCTTTAAGGTTTGAAATGCTGCATGAATTATATTTGGCTGAAATGCTTGCATTGAACCAATGACAATACTGTGCTACTGTATTATGTTAAGATTTGGTAGGGAGCCTTTAAGTTGTGTTTATGATCACTAGTGTTTTCAATTTCCAAATAGTGACTATTTAAATATGTACTTTAGGTATGGGAATTGCATTATTAAAAAATTTTTAATGGCCATTTTTGGCCTTGTTTTGCAGACCTGGCAACCCTGCACATCCCCACCGCTTTGACCTAAGCACTGTCATTCATCTTACTAAGGCTCCCCTGTTAGTGCACACTGTGAGGGGGTGTTTGAGTGTGTGGGTTGATTTGTAACCTGTTGATGTCTAACAGCCTGTCATGTCTTTCTGTTCTACCACAATTATTTCATTTCTGGGCGACCCGACCCAGCACAGTCTGCCGTGGCAGCTAAATTTGGGCTCTCAGTCGCACATTCTTGATCTGTGAAGCCACTGTGTGGGCAATCCTGAGCTGTTAGAAAAAATTGTGCCATTCCTCATTAACAAGCCTAGGCAGAGTCTGCTCATGTATGTCACTTTTTCTGTGCTAATTTTGGTGGGAATAATTTCCCCCCAAATAAGTTTTTTTTGTCCATACAATAAAAGTCAACTGGGTTCAAAACAACTCTAGCACTCATTGACTTTCATTGTATATGGGAAAAAAAATACTAACCTTTGAGGCATTTGTGTGTGTGTGTTCTCTTTAAAAATCATTCTTAAGCAGTTAAAAAACAAATCTCTTAAAGCAGTTAATGGTTAAGTTTAATTCATTCTCCAGAAACTGGTTACTGGCAAAACATCTGCTTTATTACAGAGTGCAGCAGTCGACTTCCTGAAGTAAAATCTCATTTTCTCCGTAGGGAAATAGATTTTAAATGATAACTTATAAACCTTTAAAGACAGACCTCAGTACTGAGAGTTCCAAGTTTCTTAATCAATGGTATATGCTTTTTATTAAAGCCATCCGTTCACATTATTATTATTTATAAAACTTAATATATCGTTTCTATAGATATAATCAACAACTTTGAATAGTTTTATAGTTCTCCATTGTTTTTAATTTGATTATGTTATTTGCAATGCTTCATGGGATTGTAGTTCTTCCCTCACTAGGTGTTAAATACAATGTAAGGTGTAAAAAAGTGTGTAATGTTGTGATTCACCTTGTAACTGGTTGGCTTGGTTCATTGCTTATAATGCTTTAACAAAGACAATTGGAAAAATGAGTGGAAACCAATGTCGCTGCAAGTATAGGCGGGCACTAATGCATTCTTTAATGGAATAAATGCTCTTTAGATGTTATATTTAATTTTATTTTCTCAGAATATGTGGCTACTTTTGAATGGCTGTCAATGGAGAAAGAAGCTGTTGCCCTATATGCTGTAATTGTGTAGTTATAACATCTACCAGCAGGGACTAACTGGACCAAGCCAACCAGTCAAACCTTGACCCTTGGCTCATACAGCTATGACAGGGAATTTGGACCAGTGAGTGCTTAGTAACTTTTAAAAGTGAATGAATGGCAAGAAAAGTTCACCAGATGTTTGTCATTAAAGTGTCTTTGTCTTGCATTTCATTTCTGTCTTAATGCTTTTTAAATGTGGTCTTTCAAACACAGAGAAATGTCAATCTGTTCTCTTCTTTTTGTGTTCAGAAAAGAGGAATTAAAACTCTTTATGTTAATAGAAAAGGAAGTTTTAAAACTCTGACAGACATGGTTAGTAAATGGTGAGTCCTCTTCTCTAATTTAAAAGGATCTGCCTCATACAGAACTTCTTTGTGTTGTATGAAATGTGCCTTTAGTTGTGGTTGAATAGAGTGATTTAACTGAACTCCCATTAGTCACATCATCTAACGCTGCTTTCAAGTCATGTTAGAATGATCATATTTACAAGTTGAGCGCATGAGTAATAATTACCAGCGGGAAACCGGGCTTGTCAATTATTATGTCAGGAATTATGGCAGAAGCAGATTGTTATTGATCATAATACGTTGTACTTCTGAACGTTGATGATACAATTTAGTTTGTAAAAAGCTTGCCAGAAAACACTCATTTAGCCGAGGTTTACGAAGAAACCAAATGATTTCCATTTCCTATCTTTCTCTCTGGCAACACGAGAATGAGAAGATAGAAGATACATTATTAAAGCATCATTTGTTCATCTAATGTGATTCTTTTGGTTTTCAATATATAACATTAGTGCAAAAAGCTCCCTGCTGTTGACGGGAAATGAAAAAAAAGAGAGCAAAATATAAAATTGTACCACGACTCCATTTCATTCCAAACAAAATCAGTTAATCACAAGTGATGTTGTAATATAATTTCCAAACTTATGAGTATGAACTTAGCAGGAGGACATCTCCTAATATCCACACATAAGAGACAAACCAGACCATTTGTTAAAACTGGATAAAGGGATAGTTCACTCAAAATTGTAAATACTTATTCATGTTGTAGTAGAATCATACTTTCACTTTCTTGAGAACATCACTGGACTTATGTGCAACTCAAATAAAACTACTGTAATAAGCTTTACTACAAGTTAACATTCTTATTTATCAAGGGCCACGCTCACACTGCGGCAGAATATAATCAGACCTTTATTTGAGTATTGCGCTCACGCATGTTTTGGTTATTTACGGAAGTGACAATCGCATTCTAGTCTATAACTGATCTCACACCGGCAAAGCCCTGATGTGCGGATGGAACCGTACAGGACAACTAGTTATCTGTCACGTTACATAGTGCGAGAGAGCTCTGCGCTGAACATATGCGTTTAGTGTGTGGTTTGGGTAACTTGCAGGACATTTAGAGAATCGCACCTGAATGTAAAACACTGACAGTGTGAACGCAGCCAAGGTCATCAAAGATGTCCCTGCAGAGTTATTCTAGTTAACCAAACATGTTGAGTAGAATAATGCTGCATTCCATTTAACTCATCCATCGAACTTCCTTTTTGGAAGATCACAATACATTTACTTTCTAAATTGCAAAAGAATGGTTTATGATCAGGGGAGATAGAAATTGAAGTTGAGATATCCCACATCTGACTTAGAATGGAATGCAGAATACTATTCCCAGACAACAAACCAGTGTCAGCCCAGATCCGGCCCGCATGGATTTCACACGGGCCAGATATGGACCGGCTCTGGGCCAACACTATGTTGCTGTCTGGGTTCTAACTGGCAGTAGACCCTTAACTGGCTAAACAGTATGGACCAATCAAACACAGATCAACCACAGTAGCTGAAATGACCAAAGGACACTACAGGAAGTTCATATGGATCGTTTAATGACAGATAATAGTGCTACACTCTGGGGTTACTGAACAGGCTTATGGAATAGTCACATTTCTCTTCTGCATGTACGTATACACACATTTACATGCTCTGAAACATCAGGATCTGGAAAAACCAAGCACAAGATCATGGTAGCTGTGACACTGAGTCATTACAAAGGCAAAAGACAGAAGACCAAAACCCCGACTTTTATTTACAATCTTTCTGCTGCACTTCAGTTATGCATTTATTTTTGGCGTATGCTCTGTTCAACAAAGGTTTGCGCCATTTTTCTTTTAAGCTCTCAACGCTTTAGGGATAGTTCATCCAAAAAAATATAATTTTCATAATCAGTTACTTGGCTTTATCTCATTCTAAACCTGTATGACTTTATTTCTACGGAAGAATCCGAGAAGTTGTGCAAAGAAAGTGAATGGGGTCAGACTCTGTCAAGCTTTAAACGATATTCGAAGCTGTTGCATTCACATTGATTCACGTTCAAATGTGTTAAGAGAGCACATTCTGTCAGGTTTGCCATCAGCAATACCAAATGAAATTTTTTTTTTGCGTCTTTCTTTCATAACTGATTGATATGCACCAAATGTTATGTTTAAAAATTTGTTAGAAATAGCAGAAGGGGAAACTATCACTGAAAGTATCACTTTTATGGTACAGTTTTATATATATATGTATAGTTTTATTCCCCCCCCTTAATTACATTTTACAGAAAAAAAAAACACCTTGATTATGCTAAACATCTCTTTTGTGTTCCACAATAAAAATGAAGCCATACAGGTTTGGAACATCATGAAGTTGACTATAGAATGTTCATTTTGGGATGAACTATATCCCTTTAACTTTTGAGTAGATTAACTGGACATCTTAACTGGTTCTTATGGAAGTACAGAAGAAAGCTATAGGGTTGCATTGCTAGGCCATTCTTAAAGAATAGGTAGGTCAGATTTCATACAGTGCAAATAAAGGAGCTCGTAATTTAAGACGTTCCTGCAATTGCACACAAAGGACAGGTTTTCGGGACACCGATTCATTCAGGTTCTCCACTTAAATGGATTTTCCCCAAACAATCATCTGGTACGTTGACAATACAGACCAGGATTTGACTTTAATCTGCATTTGGTTGACCATCCCTACAGGTTGGGTTACAATCACATCATTAAGTTATCATGACAGCCTAAATTTCAAACAAAAGCCAAAGAACACAAGTTGCGTAAAATCCCGCCATTCAAATCCCAGTAGCCTGATGAAGTCTCATCCGACGAACCGTGAACTGGAGGTTAAAGTGTGCCTTCATCTAGGAGTTTGTTTATCCCATCGCAGATCTTCCTCAGGTTAAGTCTGTACTCTTCAGATGGGCCGTACAGCTTGGTCAGGAAATTCACATCTGCGAAATGGTTGAACACATGGTCGATCCGCGCGTGGGAGCGTGCGGTCAAGTGGTGCTCCACCAGCTCATGGAGAAGGTCCCTACATTCCATCAGCAGCTCGGAAAGAATGCCACGGTCGAATGTGTACTCCACCTCGTAAAAGCTCACCACCGTCATGGCCGCCTGGTTCATCTTCTTTTTGAAGCGTTCGACGGTCTCCATCTCGTCAGGACTGAATTGGTGGTTTCGGTAGAGAATGCCAATCTTCAGGGCAATCTTGATGACATCTTTGATGATCTTGTGAGCTTCCTTCTTGCTTTTGGTGTATTCACGACTGGCCTTGTAGAGTTCGTCCAGAATCTCGCTGCTGGTATCATCTGTGAGGAGATTTGCCACGGCCATGGTGGCCATTTTACTCAAGATCTTCTTTTGGGCCTGAATCTGCTGCACTTCAGTTATGCATTTATTTTTGGCGTATGCTCTGTTCAACAAAGGTTTGCGCCATTTTTCTTTTAAGCTCTCAACGCTTTAGGGATAGTTCATCCAAAAAAATATAATTTTCATAATCAGTTACTTGGCTTTATCTCATTCTAAACCTGTATGACTTTATTTCTACGGAAGAATCCGAGAAGTTGTGCAAAGAAAGTGAATGGGGTCAGACTCTGTCAAGCTTTAAACGATATTCGAAGCTGTTGCATTCACATTGATTCACGTTCAAATGTGTTAAGAGAGCACATTCTGTCAGGTTTGCCATCAGCAATACCAAATGAAATTTTTTTTTTGCGTCTTTCTTTCATAACTGATTGATATGCACCAAATGTTATGTTTAAAAATTTGTTAGAAATAGCAGAAGGGGAAACTATCACTGAAAGTATCACTTTTATGGTACAGTTTTATATATATATGTATAGTTTTATTCCCCCCCTCCCCTTAATTACATTTTACAGAAAAAAAAACACCTTGATTATGCTAAACATCTCTTTTGTGTTCCACAATAAAAATGAAGCCATACAGGTTTGGAACATCATGAAGTTGACTATAGAATGTTCATTTTGGGATGAACTATATCCCTTTAACTTTTGAGTAGATTAACTGGACATCTTAACTGGTTCTTATGGAAGTACAGAAGAAAGCTATAGGGTTGCATTGCTAGGCCATTCTTAAAGAATAGGTAGGTCAGATTTCATACAGTGCAAATAAAGGAGCTCGTAATTTAAGACGTTCCTGCAATTGCACACAAAGGACAGGTTTTCGGGACACCGATTCATTCAGGTTCTCCACTTAAATGGATTTTCCCCAAACAATCATCTGGTACGTTGACAATACAGACCAGGATTTGACTTTAATCTGCATTTGGTTGACCATCCCTACAGGTTGGGTTACAATCACATCATTAAGTTATCATGACAGCCTAAATTTCAAACAAAAGCCAAAGAACACAAGTTGCGTAAAATCCTGCAGTTCAGTTCCCAGTAGCCTGCTGGAGTCTCATCCGACTAACTGTGAGCTGGAGGTTAAAGTGTGCCCTCATCTAGGAGTTTGTTTATCCCATCGCAGATCTTCCTCAGGTTAAGTCTGTACTCTTCAGATGGGCCGTACAGCTTGGTCAGGAAATTCACATCTGCGAAATGGTTGAACACATGGTCGATCCGCGCGTGGGAGCGTGCGGTCAAGTGGTGCTCCACCAGCTCATGGAGAAGGTCCCTACATTCCATCAGCAGCTCGGAAAGAATGCCACGGTCGAATGTGTACTCCACCTCGTAAAAGCTCACCACCGTCATGGCCGCCTGGTTCATCTTCTTTTTGAAGCGTTCGACGGTCTCCATCTCGTCAGGACTGAATTGGTGGTTTCGGTAGAGAATGCCAATCTTCAGGGCAATCTTGATGACATCTTTGATGATCTTGTGAGCTTCCTTCTTGCTTTTGGTGTATTCACGACTGGCCTTGTAGAGTTCGTCCAGAATCTCGCTGCTGGTATCATCTGTGAGGAGATTTGCCACGGCCATGGTGGCCATTTTACTCAAGATCTTCTTTTGGGCCTGAAGGGCCAAACTCTTGGAGTTGAAGCTCTCTTGCCCTATTCAAACAAAGAAGAAAGTAAAGTTAGCCACTCCAAGAATTTGTTTTTTCTATCTCTCACATAAGTCAGTTTGAATGTCAACAATGTTCAGTTTTCTACAGAACATTGTTCTGTAAATGGGCTGCAGCGTTTTGAGTACCCAGGTCAAGGGCGGTCTAACAGACATCTCTGTCAATATAATACCATGCTGAAAGGCTTTAAATATAAAACATTCCATCTGTCTTTCAACATGTTTTGCTCAAATAAGTGTGGATGTTTTTCTGAACCTTTATTATTGTGGATACCTCTATTCAGTTGTTGTCAAATTAAATGTTCTAGCATTTTTAAAAGACTGATACATTCCTTTGATGTTGAATTCTGTATCTCCACTCTTAGGCCCCGTCCACACAGAGAAGCGTTTAGCTGTATACGCATACATTTTGAATTGTATAGGCATTTCGTCCACACGGATCCGGCGGTTTGGGAGAGTGAAACCGATATTTTTTGAAACCGGGTCCCAGAGTGGATAAATCTGAAAACGCCACCCTTGCGTTTTCGTGTGGACAGCGAATCCGTATATTTTCTGAAACGATGACGTCATCAGCCCACGTCTTGCCCCTAGTCAGGCACCGCTACATCACATAACAGCAACAAAAACATGAACAAACACTGAATGATTGTCTTTTTATTAACTAACATTAACACAGATTAATAAATGTATTGTTCCATGTTCGTTTGTATACCGCGCGCAAGGTTTATGCGCATAGTCCAAGTCTTCTTCTCCGTTTTTAGTGTATCTCTGTGGCAGAATTACAGCGCCACATACTGGTCTGGCATGTATACTACATCGTTTTGTGTCGGTTTCGTGGTTTCGTGTGGACGCAGATATTTCTTGAGACGAGGGGAAAAAAAAGATCGGATAGGGAAAGCTCTGGCTTCATGTGGACGTAGCCTTAATTTCGAATCTGAATGAAATGATGAGATGTTTTTTAATAATACATTATTGATATATTTATTTAATTTGTGCTGATTTACTACAGAAAAGGATGGAGAAAGGAGATGGAAAAATAAGAGTGCTTAGTGACTTCAGCAAAACAAATAATTAAAAATAATAATTTCAGGCTCAGCAAGTTTTGATGCAATATTAGAAAGACAATTTATTTATCTATTTGCACAATTATAAAATGAGTTAGAAAAGGTAAAGCATCACTGGCCAATGCAACTGATTTTCTGTAACAATGACGTTTATAGTCTTTTTAAGAGGGACTTTATTGAGCCACTGTAGGTGTGTCATAACCGTATTGTGTGCAAATGGATGGCAGCAAAGCTGTTGATTTACTAATGATGTATACAGTGTCTAATGGACTGTGATAATATTAGTACAAGCTCCCTGGCCAGACTAGAGAGACTGTGCTGTTTGACACACTGTGAGCGGTACCCAGAGTTCCTCTGGGTGTGTGAGATTCTCAGCGTGTTCATTCTGCTGAGGTGTGCTGTCTGTCTGATCTGGTGTTGTAGAGGTGGAAACTGTACGTTCAATAACTCAATAATAAGAATTGGGCCAAAAATAGGAGAATGAAAAAAAAAATGGATTGCATTCAGGGAAGGCTGAGGGTTTATGAATCTCATGCGGGATTCCGTGACTTGAGAAAAAGATTGATGATGGTCTAGTGTAGCAAAGTTTCTCTCTCTCTCTCTCTCTCTCTCTCTCCCTCTCTCTCTTGTTTTTTGGTGAAATGTCAACTCTGGAAACAACTAATATGAATATGTATACCAGTGTTTCCAGATATTTGTCACCCTTCACCATACACAATACATGGATTTTAATCTGTATGAAATTTAAACTGTACTATTTTTTAACGGCATTATTTATTTGAAAAAAGTTTTTATACTTAAATATCTTTTAATATTATATATTGAAATACAATTTATTACAAAACCATTGTGTTTTGAACAATTTTAAGTTGGTTTAAAACAGATCTTGCTTCACTTTGTTTCAGACGTCACTGAAATTCAGTATGTTTGTTCAATAATTGCTCTGACAGAATCAGTGAGTTCATTTAATGAATTATATTTTCTGACTTATTCAAATCATTTTATTAAAAGAACCAACTCATTCGAGTCATTTGTTGGTGAATCAGAATACACTGTTCAGGTTGTGTTACTTTTTGCATGCAGCCTCTAAGCACAGCTCAATAAAAATATGTTTTCTTGCCATTAAATCGTTTTTTTTTTTTTGCATACAGCTCAGACTACAAGCTAAAAACTCTAAGATATTTCTTGCCGTGGCACTGTAGATCCAGCAGGGGTGAAGAGCAGTGCAGGAAACACTTGTTCACTCGTATTTTTGCATCATCTAATAGACCGTCACTCTTAAAAATAAAGGTGCTTCACGATGCCAGAAGAAACTTTTTTGTCTAAATGGTTCCATAAAGAACCTTTAAAGGGTTAGTTCACCCCAAAATGAAAATTCTGTCATTAATTACTCACCCTCATGTTGTTCCAAACCTGTAAGACCTTCGTTCATCTTCGGAACACAAATTAAGATATTTTTGATGCATTCTGAGAGCTCTCTGACCCTCCATAGACAGCAGCTGGTGCAGCTGACACAGAACAGCATACGTTGTTTACGTTCAGTGGATACTCTCCAAAATGGCGCCAGGGTTCTCCTGGAGACAAATTGTTAAATAAAGCCGTTATTTTTGTATTCTTTGCATACAAAAAGTATTCTCGTAGCTTCGTAAAATTACGGTTGAACCCCTGATGTCACATGGATTATTTTACCGATCTCCTTGCTACGTTTCTGGACCTTGATCGTGGTAATTGCATTGCTGTCTATGGGAGGGTCAGAGAGCTCTCAGAATTCATCAAAAATATCTTAATTTGTGTTCCGAAGATGAACGGAGGTCTTACGAGTTTAGAACGACATGAGGGTGAGTAATGATAGAATTTTCATTTTTGGGTGAACTATCCCTTTAACATCTGAAGAACCTTTCTGTTTCACAAAAGGTTCTTTGTGGCGAAAGAAGGTTCTTCAGAGTATAAAAAGGTAAGAAAGAGATCGTTCTTTAAAGAACCTTTGACTGAATGGTTCTTTGTGGAACCAAAAATGGTTCTTCTATGGCATCGCTCTGAAGAACCTTTTAAGCACCTGTATTTTTAAGAGTGTTTAAATGAGTTTGAATCAACCAGGATGTATGTTATCTAAAAAAGAAACTGTTTGTATGTTATTAGTTTAGTCAGACTTTGTTTTAGACCCCGATGTAGGCAGTAGACAACAAGGCAGCTCGCTATGGTGACCGTATACGTCCATCATAATGTGTAATATCTCAGGGTTTTGTAAGATGAGTGTGTGGGTTTATCTTGGGCTGAGCTGGTGAGATGGTTTATCTGTAGGAGGCGTGGGCAATCTGAGAGCAAATTTTATTTAGATACCTCCTAGTTCAAATTACACACTACAGACGTGATTAACATTACACAAACAAATGCAGAAAATCTGTTCTTTCCTGGACTCCTCTGCAGAGAGCCGTCACTCTCGTTTACTGCCTCACACAAAGCACTGTTATATGTCAGCGGGGTGGTTGGAAAATACGTCATTTGAGAATGCCACTGAATGCCACACAAATGCCTGACCCAGGCTCCAGTCTCTTTTATTTCATGTAAAGAGAGCCAGAGTGAAGTTGACCTCTATGCGCACACATCCGGCTGCCAGGTGAGATGGTCTGACCTCAAACTGACCGAGGCATGACCTTTAGCTAGTGTCTCTGACAGGAATGATGATGTTCACTCTGAATGACAAACTGGTTTATGCTTACTGCTCTTGTAGCTCAGCTGGTAGTGCATGACACTAGCAGCACTGAGGTCATGGGTTTGATTCTCTAGCGTACTTTAAAAAGAGTATTTATTACAGAAATAATATACTTTAAAGGAATATAATTAAGTGCAAAATAAATTTGTTTTTTACACTTAATTGCAAGTTGTTTACAATTAAATTAAAATGTATTATTGTTTAATTTGATATTAAATACGTTTAATGCTTATATTAAATATATTTATTTTATATGAAATAAAACTGGTTGAAATACGAGTGCTTTTTTATCCACTTACTGTAAGTAGAACTTAAGTATGTCTCTATACATAATTTCGTAATTGCTTATAATACTTTTGAAATATGGTTTTCATTTACATTTATGGTAAACTAAAATATATTTTAATGTCATTTTTGTTGAAACTTGTACTGTATGTCATGTATTTATATATTTTTGTAATGACACATTTATTACCATTTAGTACATTTAAAATTCAACTTTAAACGTAATATCAAATAACACACTACAGTTAAAATTACAAATAATAAAATAATAATGTAATGCAAAATAATAATATAATAAAATGTACTTTTAAATAAAACTTTTAGTTTGACATTACAGCATTATTTAACTGCACATTTAAAAAATTTATTAAAGTTCATTAAGAAACAAAAGTGTAGTTACTTTAAAATTGTGAAGACATTTTTTTATTATTATTATTTTTTAAAAATAATAATAAAAGTACACTACAAGTGCACTTTCATTGCAATTAAGTGTACTTTTTATTTTTAAGGGACTGGAAAAAATTTATATATATAATAGTTAGAGTGACAGTATAAAAGCAGACTATAACAAGCAGTGCTGTTTTGTGAAAAATGGCAAATTAAAAATTCATGTTGCTATTCTGGCATTTGTGTTTCCAGTGAAGAGATCTTGGTTGGCATTTCATGTTGGCATCATTTAAAGGGCTTATATTGTATGAAAAAAAAACAAAAAAAAACTAAAGGTCATTTTGAAACAAAAGGGTATAATGCACTAGGTCAACAGTCTAATACATTGTCCTAACCAGGCGTGACACAATAAATTTTTAGCGACAAGTAATTTATCTTTCCATGCTGAAAGCAGAAATGGTGTGCGACCTGAAGCACAGCTGATCAGAGTATATTTGATGTTTAATATACAACTGAATGGAGCAGGCTTTTGGACAAA